TAGGGTGAATAGTTTTCCAGGCACTCTTAAAGCGGTGTTTTCCTCCTTTACCATGTTATCCTGTGAGTCCTTGCAGATCGGCTGCTGTTTATGCATTTCACCCTCCAGAAGAAAGTTGCAGCTGCCTTTGAGTTAGCTGCATTCTGCATTTTGGGTTGCAGATGATAAAAAGATGCTTCCTTCACTCTAGCCTTACCTATTCATATGCATCTTTGGCTATATGTTACCCATTAGTGGATTTTCAGCACCCCTTAGTGGTCAGATGTTGTGTTTGTCTAATTCTTTACAGGGGAGCAATCATCCGTCGGCTGAATTTAAGGACAGTGCTTTTGAAGCACTCCCATTCATTTCAGTGGTATCCTGTGCAGGAGAGCTTCCCACAGGATTGGTTCCAAACCATTTACATGAATATTTATTGCTTTACATTTCATACATTGCAGATTCAGTTTTCAAATAGGAACCTAATGATGACTTTCTACTAGAACCACTGAAGACAGAAGAAAGGTGTGTGTGTGTGTTTATAGCTCGGTTTTACCACAGGCCTAGGGTTGCCAGTTCTGGGTTGGGAAATTCCTGGAGATTTGGGGGTAGAGCTTGAGGAGGGCAGAGTATGGGGAGAGACACTCAGCATGGTATAATGCTATAGATTCCACCCTCCCAAGCAGCCACTTTCTCCAGAGGAACTGATCTCTATAGTCTGGAGCACAGCTGTTAATCTGTGAGATCTGTATTTTTATTTATTTTATTTTTATTTATTTATGAATTTATACCCCGCCCTCCCAGAAGGCCCCACCTTGAAGTTGGCAACCCTATCACATGCCCATGACCCCCTGGCACTCCCACTTTATAGGATGTCTGGTAGGCAGGCCGGGAGAGAGCATGGGAGAACACCTTAAAGAATTCACAGTGCAGGGCAGCAGTTTCATGTGTTCTAGCCGTCCAGTCTACAGGAGCCAGTCTCCACACAAAATGGGCCAAAGTGGGATAATTCAGTGGATGATTAGGAAATGGCAACATGTAAAATAGTAAGTATGCTAATAGATGTTTTATGAACTTAGAGGTGCACCTGTATTTGGGAAACAGTATGCAGCTATGTGTCAAGGTTTCGGTTTCGCTTCTCTTCGTTTTGCTTTACTGCTTACCTTGCCATGTATTAGGGGGGAGGGAATTCCTGAGGGGAGTGTGTGTGGGTGGAGTGCCTGCCTGTAGTAGCTATAACTATTTCTCAAGTTGCACCCCTGGGCCTGTTCTCATGGGATTTGGCCTTGGAGACTCTTTTGCCAGGCTAGAATAGATAAGACACCATATATCTGTCAGGGTTGTCATAGTAACGCTAGGGGCCGAGTGCTGATGTATGAATGGGGTGTGGGGTGCACTAGGTTTTACCTATAACCTCTGAATTTCGCACACTTTCTTCAGTCCTGATAAAGATCCAGTTCTTCTCTAATAAAACATCACTGCCAAAAGTGTTGTGGAGAGTGTCTTAACTGGGGATCTGACACTGTGGTTGTGCCAGTTCAAATGAAATATCCTAGACTGGACTAGTAAAATGTCTTGGAGGATATCTTCTTTATGATGAAAAGCTTAGGAATGTAGGGACTTTTCATTCAGGAAAAGATTGTGGAAGAAGGTTTTATACAGGCTTGTAAATGGTACAGAGAGGGTGAATACAAAGAAATCATCCTTGTTCTGTCTCTAAAAAGAGGAATTTGCTGCTGTCCTGTGAAACTGAAAGGCAGAAGGTTTGAGACAGAAAGAGGAAGTACATCTCCAAGCAGCGGATCATAATGGAACACATTGCCACAGGATATCATGATGCTTACTAGTATGTCTAGTGGATGGGGAAAATGTCTACATATCAAGAGCTAGGGGAACCCATGATAGCTCAAAATGGAAGTTCCATGTTCAATGATCTCTGATTGGGGAGGAATTAGAAGATAATTGTCTCCATTGTGCCCTACTTATAGGTTATCTGAGTGGCAGATACTGGAGGCAAAAAAAAAGATTGCCCCTCAGGGGAACCAGCAAGTCTTATTCTTACAGGGCATTTTGCCATTCACCAGGGAGTTGATTTGGTATCCATGAGATGATTTTATATCATTTTCTCTAATTCAAATTATCATATATCTAATAGACAAATTTTAAAAGTCTGTGAGAGGGAGCCACACAGGGCCAAGGTAAATATTTTTGCAAACCCAGGGGAAACTCATGGATTTACAGAATTTCCCCCCACATTAGTAGTGTCTCCATGTTCATCACCAAAACAAAACTAAATTCCTTCCCTGCCAAGATCTCATGAGAACACTTCATGAGATCTCAGTTGTCATTTTGGATTGCCAAGGCAACTCATCACAACAATGAGGCATCTGCTGCTGTGAAGGGCAGCCTACGCCAAGATGTGGCTGCAGCAGCAACAAAAATGAAAGGAGGAGGAGGAGGAGACTGTGAGTGAAGATGGGGAAAAGGGGAACAGAGATAGTGGTATGGAGAAAAGTGGAGAAGAGAGCAGGAGAAAACTCTCAATGATCTAGTGTGGAGGAGTAAGGAAGGTGAGTGAGTAGTTGAGTAAGCACTGACAGAGTGGGGGGAAGTTGGGGAAGGAAGAGGCTGATGAGGGGATATGATTTCCCCTCTCCTGTGAATCCTCTTGTAAACTCTAAGCCCGCTGGGGAGGGCGGGGTATAAATCTAATAAATAAATAAATAAATAAATAAATAAAAGATAAAGTTATCCACTCAAGAAACGCCACAGAATTCCACTTCTTCCCTTTACTGCCTTGTAGAATTTTCATGATTTTATATGTTTTTATGGCATTTTGCCCTTATGTACATCACCCAGAGCCCAGCATAAGCTGGGATAGGGCAAATAATAATAATAATAATAATAATAATAATAATAATAATAATAATAATAATAATAATAATAATAATACTTTCCCATGCTCCTCCACCTCTTTTGATTCATTGCTTCCGCCTACCACCACTCAGTACCATCAACCCCGTTCCCACTATTTGCCCACATGGTCCTTTGTCCTAAGCACATTATGTGTGAAACAAGTCAGGTCACAGGCACCCAACCTGACTCCATCACATGTTCACATGGGAACAAACCTTTAAAAACCTCTCCATAGCGCCACACAGCCCCAGACATTGTGAGAGGGGGAATGAGGGCTTCAGGATGAACATGAGATGGGCACAGAGAGCCCAAAGAAGTGGAAAATAAGTCCACCTGCAGCCATTTCTTCACTCAAAAACAGTATGGGAGGGAAGCCTCCTTCCCCCTCACAGTGTATGGAGCTGTGCAGAGTGACTGAAAGGTATTTACAGGTTAGTCCTCACATGAACATGTGACTGAGGGTTGGGTTGGGCACCCACAAGTTGACATGAGTCGCATGTAACATGTATTTTGGCCCTGAGTATGGAGGAGGAATAGGGGCCGTGGTGGTTCGGAGGTTAAGACTGTAGTTCGGCAGTTTGAGATCCTAGTGCCATGAGCTCCCGTCTCTGGTCCCAGCTCCTGCCAACCTAGCAGTTTGAAAGCAAGAAACAAGAAGAAGAAGGAGGAGGAGGAGATTGTATTTATACCCCGCCCTTCACTCGAAGTCTCAGAGTGGCTTACAAACTCCTTTCTCTTCCCCTCCCCACAACAGACACCCTGTGAGGTGGGGGGATGAGTGAACTCTTTCAAGAACTGCCCTTTCAAGGACAGTTCTGACAGAACTATGGCTTGCCCAAGGTCATCCAGCAGCTGCAAGTGGAGGAGTGGGGGATCAAACCCAGTTCTCCCAGATTAGAGTCCACGCACTTAACCACTACACCAAACTGGCTCTTGAGTAGATAAATAGGTACCACCTCGGTGGGAAGGTAATAGCATTCCATGCACCTCCATGACCACGGAAATGTCTTTGGACAGCACTGGCTCTTTGGCTTGGAAACGGAGATGAGCACCGCCCCCTAGAGTTAGATTCGACTGGCTTTCAAGCAAGGGAAAGCTTTACTTATGGAGGAGGAAGGTGTCTGATCCATGAATGCCTACTGGAGACTTGCTTCCCTTTCAAGACAGTCATCTTGCTTTTTAGTCTTTGACATTATTACAGTCAGGGCTATTTTTGGGCAGGAACACACAGGAATGGAGTTCCAGCTGGCTTCTGAGTTGGCCACACCTACAGCCTCCCCCTCTCGGGTTTCCCAGGCGCCTCGCAAGCTGCGGAGCGCCTGGGGAAGCCAAGCCAATCCAGGGAGGGAAGGCAGTTTAAACTGCCTCCCCTCCTCAGGTTCCCCAGACGCCCCGCAGCTGCGGGGTGCCTGGGGAAGCTGATCCAGAAACTGCCTTCAGGTTTCCCATGCACCCCGCAAGCTGCAGGGCACCTGGGGAAGCTGATCCTGGGAGGGAGCTGCGCTGTCAGGGGTATGGCCTAATATGCTAATGAGTTTCTGCTGTTGGGTGTGGCCTATTATGCTAATGAGTTCCTGCTGGGCTTTTTATACTAAAAACCCCTTATTACAGTTCAAACTAAGACAATGTTGAGTCTATTGCCAAGGGGATTCAGATTATTTCCTCGGTTCCCACTTCTGATGTAAATGTTAACAGCCATATTCTTTTTGACACACTGATTGTTACCATGTACAGCAATGGTTTTGTTCCCTGATAGTTTCATTGACTCTCTCTGAGGTTACAATTCTGCATGTAGTTGCTCATCCCTTAATCTGGGATGTATGTGTACCTGGCCCAGGACTGCCAAAGTATTCTGAGAGCATTCTTGTCAACATCAGTGAATTATATTCAAGACAAATGCATGGAAAAATAACATAAAAGTGTACCACAATAAAAGCCTTCTCTAATGAGAAGTTCTGTGCAAAACCCATAGAAATGAATGGGAATCATACAACTGCAGAAACATTTCAGACTGGGCTGTATCAAATGGTCATGATAAATTTTCTTCCACTAACATCTCAATACATACAAAACCAAGACTGAGTTGAGAATATAAAATATTTTACCTTTCTTTCATTCATCTCATCATTTTCACCATCATATTCACCCTGAAAATACAATGCCAATGGTAAGAAACATTGTAAGAAGAATTCCATAACTTCTTATACCATAAATTCAAGGTTGGTGTACTTTCTGATTTTCATTTTGATGCTATCATCATTTTTGCTGCAAATAACAGTAAACTAATTCTTTTTCTTTGTATATTAGATCAATCATTTTCATATCTGAGATTTAAGAGTATTGATTCTGGATTCTTATGATGTGTCCAGCTATACATCTAATTTCTTCTAATATTTCATCCCAAAAAGATGTGACAACAGGACATTCCATGCAACAGTGTATTTAAGTACCACTCTAGATACTTGAATAGCAAAGTAGACCATTGCGATCTGTGTAAAGAAAGAGAAAATTATTCTTAACTTCCTAAATTCTGGGTCCTGTGAAGCTCATGGTCAACCCCTGCTCTTCAATCCCAAATGCCACCATGACTAAGAACACATAAATGAATTTATTCTAATCCATTGCTCATTGCCCTTGTCTTCCCCTTAATATTTCATCTTGTTATAGACATTCACACAGACAGCAAAGGGATCCCATGCTGAAGAGGATGTGTGGACCTTGGTCAATAGGAAACAAAGCCCTAGAGTTGGTCCATTGGTCAATGGACTAACCAAACACTATCAGGTTTCTGGTCAACTGGCCACTTATTGATTATCTGACTGCAGTCAAATATTGCCAAGTATTCTACCAAGGCAAGAGACCCTTTCTGAAGCAAAAACTAGAATTTTGAGGCTCTGCGAGGAAGACTCTGGTGACTGATCACAAGTGCCCAGCAGTGCAATTCTAAACAGAACTAAGTCAATGAGCTTAGAAGGGTGTAACTCTGCTTAAAATTGTACTGCAAAAGTCTGAAGACAGGATTCAACGTGATCTGGCATAGACACTGCCAAGGAGTCACTGCTGGAATCTTCTAGAAGACAGATCTTTTTTTCCTCCTTGACACAATTCTCAATGTACTTCTTTGTCACTAGTCGGTAAATTAAAGCTTTAAATACTTGGCTAATATGTAGTGCTGACCAATGAAATCCCAGCATGGTGTTCACACCCCATACTTCACTCTCTTCAGTGGCAACCATAGTATCTGATGACCTCATAATGTGGGTTATGGAGAGATTGTTACTCAGATTTTGCTTCACTGAGGACTGTTCTTCTGATTTGTCTCTTCCCTGAAGACCATATTACATCCACCCATGGAAGGATGTCCCAAGTGTCTCAGATGTGGCTCCTTCTATAGTATTTGAGTCCAAACCAGTAGGCAGCTTCTTAACAGTACATCTTTGTATATCCCGCTGCAACTCTTATGCTAAAAAAGCAACTAGCTTCTTATGTAAATATTGTTTCTGCAAAGTATACCTACATCATGAAGGGGATAGGCAGTTTCGTAGACATTTTTTGCTATTAATGAGTTAATACCTAAAAAAAACAGAAACAAATAAAAGTTGTTCAATGCCTATAATTATTGAAATAAACACATACTATTTTACATTATTATGTATATTTGCAATTTATAACTCACTTTTCTACCCAAAAAAGGGCACTCAGAGTATTACAGAAGCTTCAGCTTAAGAGTTCAAATAAAATTTCCAAACAATTCACGTCTGAAAAATTTCTAACTTTGCAATTCTTATTGTTAATTTTCAGACTTTATATGCATCCTTTTCTGGGTTCACAGTAGTTAAAGTTAAAAGCAATCTAAAATAGAGCACAACAGAATCGTTAACAGCCCAACAAACTCACTTGCCCCAAATCAGGGGAAATAGCCTTGTGGGCCCTCTGAAAAGGTAAAAGAGAGGCGCTCTGAAGATCCAATGCTCCTTGCACCATTAAGGAGTCAGGTGCACTCCATTTCTCAATCCCAGAATCTCCTTTGCTACCAGTGCTATTGCAATGTTCAAGGCATATGAGAACCTAAGTCTCCAGTGCCTTTGCTACTCAGTGTTCAAGGCATAAGAGACCCACCACATCTACTTTGTAACAAAGAAGGGGTTGGTGGAAGCATTCAGACCCCATCATACATCTGACAAAACCTTTGGTAGCACAACAGGGAACAAGATCTGTATTTTGGAACTTGACTTGAAATCTATTTTATACCTATTGGACTTATGCCAGGTCCAACTCAGAATTGAGCCTGGGGAGGAGATAGGTCACTCATCGCTCAAGCTCCGGCTTCTGAGATTTTATCAGACAGTGCCCACACACTTTTGAGCATCTCTTTATAAGTACAAAGGCTAGAAACACGTTTTAAAATAATGAAAGCTGAGATTATCAAGAAACTGGCTTCAATTTTTTTTTAAGCCACCAAAGGGGATTTTTATTTTTATTTTTTTATAATACTACATAAACTACCAAGAAAAAATAGGGATAGGGGGACTAAGGGAGAAAGAAAAGATAACCTAAAAGAAAAGATAAGCTTAAAAACCCAAGGTTTTTTGTACTTTATATGCATCCTTTTCTGGGTTCACAGTAGTTAAAGTTAAAAGCAATCTAAAATAGAGCACAACAGAATCGTTAACAGCCCAACAAACTCACTTGCCCCAAATCAGGGGAAATAGCCTTGTGGGCCCTCTGAAAAGGTAAAAGATCATTCCCTGTTAAAATGCTGTTAGTAAAAAAAAAAGGCTGTTAATAAACAATATACTTTGTGAGGTCCTGTCTTTCTAAGCTTATATGTTAGATTGTTACTTGTTATGAGATTTCCCAAGCAACTCCTCCAGCTCGCTTCACAAAGGCAATTTGCAAAGTCCTTCCGCCTTTACATCTATACTAAAACTCTCTAAATTCTTGATAGCTTCTTAGACGTTCATTGTAGCCCAATCTTCTTCCATCCAAAGGAATACAACCGCTAGTCTTAAGCCTCTTCCGCTCTGGTCTCGGGGTCCAGTGGCTTCTCAAGTTTCTTGATTATGAAAGGCACCTCCAGCTCTTTTTTCTCAGCAGACTTTAAGATGACACTTTCTAAGAACACTCGCAGGGAAGAAGTTAAATCCTTGTAAATTTTTCCTGTTTCTCTTGTACTTTTTCTTCTTTTCTCATTGAGATCGCTGCTTAATTTAGTGTCCATCTCATTCACTTTGAGAGCCCTCAATTCCATTTTTTCTCCGATCGCCTCCTGGAGCTGCCGAGACACAAATTGTTGATTTATCTTGGCAAGCTGCTGGTTAATACCAACAAGTTGCTCCAAGATTGGCTTGATGGCTTCTGCTACTAATGCAGTGACGTCAACTTCCCTTCTTCTCCTTGGAGTTTTCACCAGTATCTGCCATTTCAACGTTTTATTTTCAATAAAGTTTCTTTCTTCCTGGCTCTGCAAATCGCATACGCTGTTAAAAGCTCATGGAAATCTCCCACAACAGGCTTACACGCTTGCAAATAGTCTTTCAGAAGTATCCGTTTACAACTGTCTCTCTCTCTCCCCCTCCCCTCTTCCGTTTATGTAAACGCGTCAAAGAGGCACCCCCCTCCAATTGCTTAAGGGGTTTCAGGGGGTGGATTTCGTTTCAAGTATCCATTTAAAATCGTTTCTCTCTCCCTCCCCCTCCGTGTTTATGTAAATGCATTGAGAGGCGTCCCTCTCTCAGCATGTTATTGCTCAGAAAGTTTTTCCTTTGAGGGGGAGGGGATTTTCTCTTCTGAAGAAAATCACTCATTTTCACTCACAGTTCACTCCTTAACTCACAGTTCATTGTTGGTCTTTATCTTGACCACGCTCTTAATTGCTCCTCTGCTAGATCTCCTGCACTTGATCGGGTCAACACAGCTTGTGGCCTCGCTAAGAGCAGTCAGTGAGAGCGGAGGGGACCCTCCATCTCCCTGCCGTTAGCAGGAAAAGAGGCTCACCCTCAAAAGCCCTATGGCTTGGGAGTTCTACCTGAACTCCCGTGGGGGTGCCGAACCAGTGGCACCTCTCCCCCTCACTGCTGTGCGGTATGCCTACCCAGAGAGCTGGGAAAGGCGTCCGCCAGCGTTGTGTCATAGACCACTGACTTCAATTTTTAATGCCACATTCTGGATATTTTCTGTGTCTCCTGAGAAGAAGAAGAGGAGAAGAAGAAGAGTTGGTTTTATACCATGCGCTTCCCTATGGGAAGGAGTCTCAGAGCAGCTTACAATCTCCTTCCCTTCCTCTCCCCACAATAGGCACTCTGTAAGGTAAGTGGGGCTGAGAGAGCTGTGACTGATCCAAGGTCACCCAGCTGGCTTCATGAGTTGGCCTTCACCTCCGTGTACTGTTTGTGAGTGCCTGAGCTGGCCATTGTTGTAAACTAATAAGATGAATAATGGCATGTGATTGCTTATTCACACATGCAATCCACTTTTCAATGTGGACATCAAATGATCGACTTGAAAACGTGAACCAACCAAGAACCGATCAAAACTGGCCAAGATCCATGAACTCCTCATAACACAGTTAGACTTTTCATACCACTCCTGCAAGCATAGGAAGTAACTGCATGTGAAAATAGCACTTATGTTTGAATCAGCAGGAGTTGTCTTTTCACAGGTCTTGATTTATTCACATCATTGGGAGATAAGAATTGAATGGGACTGCATTGGTTCTGTGACATGGCAGTGGTCCCCCTCCCACAAAACAAGTCCAGGCTGAAAAAACAGTTTGTTCCTAATCACCAGTGCAGTTTTCAGAAATGAGCAGATGCTCTGCACCCAAATTAGCCCATGTATTCACTCTGCCCAATGCTGTACTCAATGCTTTCCAGCTGAGCTTGGGAGAATTTCTCAAATTAACTTTGGAACTGGGACATGCCTAGCTAGCTTTAAACTTCTTTTTTCATAATAGGTTACCAATCCAATCAAGAACACGTGCATGTTGGGGCTTCTGGTCGGGTCAAGATGGCGAATTAATGCATCCCGTGAATGAGCGGGGTGGGCGACGGCTCCTTTCGACAGTTTGGGCTAGTTTTAGCCCAATGCAGCAGCCCCCAGTAAGGGGGGGGTGACAAGCAAGCAGCGGTGCCCAAGTAGAAGTTGAGATTGGCGTGATCAAGCCTCGGAGGGGGCTTGTGTCACGCTTTGAACTCCTTCTGCAGTGCGGGCGAATGCCAAGCAGCACTACAGGAGCTGATCGAGTTGGATTACCAGCATAAATCCGTCGTCACCCGATCTCTTGAAGAAGAGGAACAGTGAGTGTTTGAAAAGAAGCAGTGCAATACCCCATTTGAGCTTGCTAGATAACAAAGAGTGATTGCTTACTGGGATCAAGCTGTAATGAAAGACGATCTTAGCGGATGAGCATAAAAGAACTTTTAAAACCCAGTAATCTCTTTCCGGACAAAAAAAGACTTGAATTAATCCAGTTAAAGTGAAAAAACTAACTTTGTTGAACATTCCTGTGGTGTGGAAAAGATAAGGCTGCAGTCTGTAACCGAAACTGCCGTTAGTCATTGCGAGAGTTGGGAGGCTGGTGTCATGGTGATTGGACTCCGACAGGAAGTGTGATTCTATTACGGAGTGCCTAGAGAGGATTCGGAAGACCGGAAGTAGATCGGCAAAAGTTGAGCGAAAGACCGGAAGTTCGAAGAAGCGGATGGATGGATCCGACAGGTTAGAGAACAGCCTACTCTAGCTGGAAACCCATAGAGGTGATGCGCCCAACATTTTGAGGAGGACTCAAACTTTAATTAACTTTTTAGAACTTTAAAACAGCTAAAAGGAAAGCGAAAATAAGGCGATTCGCCTAAGCTTTTATAGAACTGCTCAACAAAGCGAGAAGTTTTCGACTTTTTGATATTAAAATTTTAAATTTCAAAACAGAACCGAGAAGGCCTAGAGCAGCATCAACATCGAGTCCAAGGATGGCGGGAAAGGAGAAAGAGAAAAAAGAATGGCAGGCAGCAATCGAAGCAATGGAGAAAAGAATGACTGAGGCGATACAAGCACTAGGAAAGCAGCTGGAGAAGCAAATGGAAAAGCAGACACAGAAACACCTGGAGCAACTGGAAGAGGTACAAGAGAAGAATGTAACAGCAATAAAGGAGCTGGTTACATCTGAAGTAGCACTGGTAAAACAAGAAGTGGAAGAAGTCAAAAAAGAAGTGCAAGGTATGGCAACAAAGACAACTGAGATGGAAGAAAAAGTACACAAAACTGACAAGAAATGCGACTCAGTGACTCAAGAATTAAGAAGAACAGAAGCTATGATGGAATACAGATGGATGCAGAATCACCTAAGACTTAGAGGAATAGAGGAAAAGTTGAGTGAAAATATAAGAGAAGTAGTAATGAAGGCCTTGACTGAATACCTAGAAGAAGAGGATGGGGAAATTGACCATGAATTTGACTTGATATACAGAGTTAATTCAAGAGTAGCTGAAAAGCGGAATTTACTGAGAGATGTAATAGTACAATTTGTAACTACAAAAATGAAAGAGGATATCTTCAAGAAACAATTTACACAC